AGACGGGGAGAGAGAGAGGGAGAGAGAGGGAGAGGGAGAGAGAGCAAGACTAGGCCCACATGCACGCGCGCACACACACGCACAATAGCGCGGCGAAAATACTGTTTTCTGAAGAACGAACAACCAAGCAGAACGGTCCGGATGTTCTGACGTCTAAATACATGACAGCCTCGGTTTGGGCACCATGCTGGAAGGCGACGTCTTACTCCTGATTGCAAGGCGTTTGGCGGACTACTATTGTGCTAGGCCAATTACGTCAGCCCAGAGCAGAGAAAAGGCCGGCCTCCGACAAGGTATCAGGTGAGTAGTTTTACCTCCTGGAAATGGGCTCCCTGTACTTCAAAAATGCAGGCAGAATTTGCCTCAGATGTTGGCCTGATGGGTGAAAAAGTCCGGCAAACGTTGAGCAAACATCGGCGGCCACGGTCCCCCTCGTCCTGGCGGCAGGTACAGTACTTTTGGGCAAGGAATGAGGGTGTTAGACGAGGGCGCCCGAGGCTCCGAGAGGGCAGAAACTAACAGAGAGTCCGCGCCAGCCAAGGCAGCCAGACTCGCTGACAGCTGGCACGATTGAAGCAGGGCTACTGTGGCCGTGGTGATGGGGATGTGAGTTGTGTAAAGGTGCCGCGGAAAGTAGAGCACTCGCTGCGCACACTGCGTTAGTGCTGCTCACTGCAAACAGGCAGCTGTTGCGGCAGACTAAACCTAACTTACGTACACAGAGAAGACAATAACGCGAAACGGAGTGGTGATACAAGAGAAAGATAGAAGGAGACGGAGAGAAAGCGCGCGCCCCCGAACACGAGACAGCTGAGAGAGAGCAATGGAACGGAGGAATGTGCTCCAAGCTGACAAATGACCTCACCTGTGGGAGGGTGAGGTCTTGGTGTCTCCGCCAGCGTTAACCTGACTGGCCAGCAGTGGGAAGTCTTCGGCGGCCTTTTTATTTTTCGCCGCCTTGTGCCGTTCGTAAATTATGATAGTCACTAAGAGGATGATGAGTTCGGCCAGGATACCGATGAACGGCCAGAGGGCAGCCAAACGACCTGCAAGGGAGGGGAAGGGGAGACTTCATTAGTGTCAGGCGGCAAGGGGGAAACTGATCGCGTGCAACCAGCCGCCAGTGGGGTGGTAACACAGAAGTAAGGAGACGCCTGTCGCTGGGCAAGAGGCGGGGGACGCCGTCAAGGGAGGGACGGCGACCTTCTGCCACTGCGTCAGACACCATCTCCTCTCGGCTCGCTCCCCTCCGGCACCAAATGGGATGACGGGGAGACAACGGGGACAAGGCTGGACGATCGCCCAGTGATGGAAATACTGTGGTGTTGCGCAAGGCCGGGAAATTCATTCACAAGCAGAGACCGGACATGAGAACAGGAGCCGGCTGCAGTACAGGTAGCTTTGAGCCAACTCCCAATGAAAGTAGGCTTAGGTTTAAGATTAGGGATTAGGCTTAAGGCTAGGTTTACAGTTAACGGTAAGGTAATCCAGAATTAAGTTGAGGGCAAAGGTAGGGGGCTAGTGTTAACTGTTGAGCTATGGTTTAGGGTAGGGCTAGGGTTAAGAGTGGGGCAACACTGGGGTTATTGTTTGGGTTAGGATACGAGAATATTTCGTCCTTTCCAGAAGTATGTAAAGGTCCATCTTTAGTATTTGCGTAGGGCGTACCTATTTCTGTCTTGTTTAGGGGCCATACATGTCAGTCCTACTGAGTTTTTTTATTTACTTGTTACTTGGCGTAGTGATTCACAGCAAATCGTTGTGGCCTCTCAGCTTGTCATACGTACGCAAGGACTTTTCCATTAACAAGAGATGGCAGATACGACCCTCAGTCAAACAGCACACTATTCAGAGGGAAAAAGCACATTTATTCAAATCAATACACTTCATGACGATCATTCACCTTCTTTCCGCGCCTGTAATAACGTACTAAATAACTTAAATGGAAACAAAACCTTAAGTTACGCGAAGCGACAGAATGGGGCGAAAACCACCAGAATCGCATCCGAAAAGGCGAAAGGCGATTTAACTAGAACGGAGGAGCGTTGGTGTGCTGGACGATGAGTGTGCATACTAAAGGACCCGGAAGTATAAAGACCTTAACAGATTTATGACACGCTGTAGTGCAGCTAGCCATCGAGTGGTGTCTGCGACAAGCGTCTGTTTGAGGATATTTGCAGGCGTAAGCAATACCCTTGAAGACTGGAACGGAACATTTGATTTGCTCACTTTAGAGGCCATTCTAGCATGCGTTGTACAAATCTGGCTATCAAGCGTCCCTGCATGAGGCCGTAGAAGCAGGGTTGTACAATTCGAAAGGCGTGGTCTCAAATTCAAAGAGTCCTTGAGGAAATATAAAGACTGCCTTTTGCGGTCAGTCGACTCGGCCTCAACTTGCCAGTGTACGACCAGCGTCAAGTCGACGGTAGTCAAGGCCCAGGCGCAATTCGCCGTCCTCAGTCCGGAATACACCACTGTGCATAGAATGCATGAATCGGTTACGCATACGGAGACTTCCGTAGCATCTACGTCACTGTCTTCTACTAGGTACGATGTGAGAGTTAGGTGGAATCCACGCCAGCGTACCCCAGATGTGCTTCTTGTACATACGCACGAATTGAACTTAAAACACTCGGATCTTCCATCGAGGAGGGTTTCAGTAGAGACGAACCGAGCCATCTCGCCAGTTGGCAGTCCCTCACATGATTCTTACCGTTTCGTGAAAGTTAAAAATCGGATGGGATATACTAAGCAGCGGTTGGACCACGCTCTCACTTCCGCAACAAAAGTTCAAAGTTTCAAACTTGTGCTAATCAGCAATGGACGTGCCTCCACCAGATGGCTGGCAACGCTTGACATG